AGTAGTAACAGAGAATTTTATTTTTTCAACATTCATTCTCTATTTGTGACTATGTTTTCGTGATAAATTCATTCGTCATTATATAGTTTTATGTACCTCTATAATGGTATCTATATTTTCCTTAATTCGTTGGACTTCTTTAAACGATACTTACAGTCGCTGTGCCTAGTATAGGTACCTCGAGGATCCACAGAAGTAAATCGAAGTCAATAGGTTCACAGATTCATATAAAAGTTATAGGCCAAACAAATGAAAATTTGGTATTTTAAAACCATCCGAAATGTTTTTTTCTTTTTTCAATTTGATAGAGACACAATAGTACAACAAGTAATATATAACGTAAATATCATTTGTCAACTTCTTAGTTTTCTGATTTTTTTTAGAGAAAAACCTTGAACTAACTTTTATTCGCTTTTCAAAACCGTGCTATCGAAGATGAGAGATCAAAGAGACTACTATAACTCGATAATATTCGAATATTACTGACGAGAATAATATGCGTATGTTTCTACTTCAAATTTAAATGAAATCTCTATATATTTAATACTATGTTTTTTTTTTAGATATAAAAATTAATTATTGACAATGAAAAAACTATTCTAAGTATTATATTAGTCGCGATATTAATTTATGCCAATTGTATTCTGACCGGATCTTAGAATAACTTTTACATACTCGTTTTTCAAAATTCTCATTATTAACAAATTTGAATTTATTAGCTAATGTTGAGTGAAAAAAAATATCATTTTATACCTAATTTTGAGTTTGCCAAGAAAGCTACATTCGATTTTCCCATGTTGTCAGCATAAAAAACCTGAAAAACAAGTGCAAGACTTGTAGGAGAAGATACACTTATTATTTGTATGGTTTGCCGATAGTAAAGTTTTGATTTGATTGTATTTTTCTGTTTAAATCAGAAGTTAGTTGTTAATAACAGGTGTTTGAGGAATAATGGACTCTTCTGCATTTTAATGATATCTCTTTTATTTCTTTACAAAGTAGAATAGTTTTTATTAATGTCCACTAAATTCATTATTGTTCTGGACATTCGACGAAAAAGAACAGTCGAAGATAAAAAATATCTACAATAACTTTTTTTCTTGAATGTTTTTTTTTAACTTGATGTTTTAGTTCTTTAAAAAGAATATCTATCTATGTTATCTTTTACCAATGATAGAAATAGTAAATTAATTCAAAATGAAATAGTTTAAGGTTGAAATCTGAACTATTCGATAATTAATTTTCCTCATCGACGATATAGAGGACATTGAATTGACACATCATTATTGTATTCATTGATGGATATATGAGATTGTGTGTTGCTCTACTGGAATGTTCAAACTTGACAGATCTTATTTTCTTGTTCAAGTGTTACTGAAAGAAAATTCTGAACTCATTTAATGTAGTATAATGGCTCCGGACACGGAATGAGTGGTGATATTGAATTGAATATTTTAATAAAGTAATGTACACAACCTCATATATTCATCAATTAACACAAAAATGATGTCAATTGAATTTTCTTTATATCACCGATGAGAGACATTTCTTATCAAATAGTTCAAATTTAAACCTTAAACTATTATCATTAGTAAAAGGTAACATATTGAAATAAAATGACATGAAAAGACGAAGCTTACTTCTATTAATTATATAATAGTTTATTTTATTAATATTTAGCAGAGCTTTGGGGTTCTACCCGCTCATCATCAGAATTGATTTAGAATGATGCTGCATTTGTGTCTACTGAAGTTCAAAATTAAAAAAATAATAATAACTAAATGATAGACACACATTATTGAAATTGTTGTTAAGTGTTCTGTATATGATAGAATGCTCGCTTATATTGATCACATGTTCCGCATGTTTTATTTTGTATTGTGTGAATGGGGCAGCAGTGAAAAAATTCAATAAACTAAAAACAATAATAAAATAGTTAGGGTGTGAGTAAAACGAACAGTGAAGAATTTCTGAAAGAAACTCAGCTACTATTCTAACTTTATGACAATCCCAACATAACAGTAGTATTACATGAAAAAATTAATGTGATTCAAGTATTCAATCACAAATCAAATCTTTGAATGTTTTCGTTTTTTCATTGGTATTATTGATGTTCTAGTATCTCTTTTTCTTTTCAATTGATGAAGAAAATAATTCTCTTAACTTAACCTTGATAAATTTTGATGAGAAATTAATAATTGATTCATTTTTTACTAAAATCTACTTCTAATGATAATTTTATTTTTAATTTAAGGTCATTTTACGTTGCGTAAAGTACGACGTTGACAGAATCTAGTGTTTGGTAATGATAATTTTTTTTTCCAACACGAAAAATGAAATCGTAATAGAAATTTTGAAAGCATGACGGGAGCGATAAACAGAAATCAAGAAAAGTTGTTCCCACAGGACATTTATATACTACTTGAGTAAGCTATATGTCCAAGAAACCACTTATTAGATAGCTGAAATATTTTTTGCTATTGCAGAAACAGCAGTTACAACTTATTTTCCTAATACTAGAACATGTTATTATAGTAGAAACTCGACTCGCAGTTGGCTTTTGTATTATTCTTAGATTTTTCTAAATATCAGACGAGTGTGGGGTATTCAGTAGAAAATTTTCATTAAACATCAATTCTAAATTAAAGTTGCATAATCTTGAAAAAAAAAGTGCAAGCACATACTGTTTTATTATCGGTTCGAATCTTTTCAAGAAGTTAAAAACTGATTTTGAGTGATAATAACCAACATTTGTGCTCAAGAGAGTTGAGTCATATTTTTTGCCTTTGCTTTCCTCATTAGTAAGGCAAATACAATATTGTAGATTAAACCAAATCGATCAACTGTACTTGCTTTTTTTACATTTAGCTGTGGTTTGAAGTTAGAATCTCTTAAACCGAAGAACAATTGACATTTTTCATTGTTGTTGCAGTCAAAACAGTGTCGTCAACAAGAAATCAATCCAAATCTTCTAGAGGAAATTTCTAGTATGATCAGCTTCAAGATTAAAACAGAGAGCTTATACCCAATGTTTAGCGTTTATGACAATATTCAGTTCTTTGTATGTGTTTTCTCTCATATTTAACATAAAAGAGCTGTCAAAATATTTAAACTTACTATATTTTCAAATACTTTTTGAAGCTGTACAAAATTGCTTTAGTTTCTAGATTAATATATAAGAAATAATTATTGCTTGTTATTCCTTTTGGACAAAATATTTTCGATGAGACTAAGCACGGTTTTTATCAAATCAAATGCTAACTACTGCTTTGTTTTTTATTGAAATATTGATGTAATTCTAATAACATTCAATTTATGGATGTTAATTTTTTCTCGAGTTTCTTTTATCAGTAAAGAGTAGAATTTTCGTATGTACAAAATAAAATTAGAAAATCTATTTATTTTCAAAATACGATGAAAAACAGATACAGCACAGCATAATTATTACGTGAAGTAATTTGTCCTGAGAAAATACTATTTACGCATGCTTAGGTGAAGATGTTAACAACTTTATTTATTGTTAATATTAGGTCTTTTTCTATTGAATAGTACACTACCGAAAATAAAGTAAAACAAAAAACAAGTGCTTCATAACTTTCATTATGAGCACTAGAAAATGTGAATTCAGCTCAAATGTTTTGATTTTTTTCATATCAACATCATTGTATGAAAATAAGTAATTTATTTCTTGAAATTAAAATTCTTTTCTCTGTCTTATCGTTATTGTGTAAAGTAAGACTAAATATATGTTTCAATGAATCTAGTCTGTTGCAGAAAATAATGAAATTAAACAGCGTAAATTTCGCACAGTAGGTTTGTTTGATATAGCATTTGGTCTATATGACTTTATGATCGTGTGAATTCATCGATTGCCATGTTTTTTTTTCAATGCCAGATAAGTATCGTAAGCAGTCATATCACACCGAGCCAATATTCAAACAGTAAGTAGAAAAAAACATGATTCATTACTACTAGGGATGCAACGATGACGATCAATCACCGGTATACTGTCACCGTTGCATCCCTAGGTATATCGAGGTAAATAAAGTTGATTTAAATTATTTTTGTAAGAATAACAATTTACCGTGAAACAAAGTTTTTTTCTTGATAAGTAAGATTTAAGTGCCAGACAATAGTTTAATTGATAGTTGATCTTTTTAACACATGAATATTGTGAAAAAGAAAAAGTTTCTCATTTTTTCATTTGTGAAAATAATTGTTTTATACTTGCTGATTCATTTGCTCTTATTTTAGAAGAATTTATTATGTAGTGTACATTGAATTATCAGAGACAACAATCAAAAGTATATGTAAATATCCCTTGTATTTATTGGAATTCATTCAAGACACGATCAACAACAACAATAACAGATGATCATCATTGTTTTTATGAAAATGAAACACATTTGAAAATATATATGACATGGGATACACCTATTGTTACTTGGTCTTATCCTTTATTTTCACAATTCACTCGGCCATGCATAGCTATGCCAAAAACAAAGTGTTCATCATTGTGGCAAAGTTTATTAAATATTGGTAAGATGAGTGTTCATATATTTGTCATATATAGATGAATTTATTGTATTCTTTTTAAATTTTATTTGCTTAGTTAATTTTCGTCATACAAATGATGATGATGCAGAAGACAATGTTGTTTCTTTCACATTTTGTTCATCTACCCAATATAACTGACATAGAATTTACGTCAAACTTTCATGGATCCAGATGGAAAGATATTCAATTTATTCTACAGTAAGTATAATTTATATTTACAAAATAGAATGCTGTTATATATTATGAACTATATTAAGTAATAGTAACTCATATTAAAAATGAATATAATGATTATATTGTTTTAGTTTTATTATAGAGCGTATTCAAATTTTATTGATCTTAAAATTAATGTCCGATTATTAATTTTCTCCAAATTATTCGATAATCCATGTCTCATGCCAATTTTCAAACAAATTAAAATACTCAAATTAATAACAGAACAAATGTATTTGCCTTCCAATTCTGCATTGAAATTTGTTCAACGTTTTTCATCACTTACTCGTATTGAACTTAAAGTATTTTCATTCGATAATTGTATATCTATCATTGATATATTTCTTAGTCATCTGCAGCACTTATCTTATGCTAAAATTAATTACGATCAAGTTACATTGCTTGATGATCCATTTTCACGTGATTATATTATTGAAAAACGTCATCAACAATTTCCTGATACTTTTTTTGATGAAACTATGGTCAATGTTAAATATAATGGTGAATCTTTTAGAATCTGTTTATCATAATTTTCTGTGTATATTATATACAGAATTTTTCTGTTTAAATAATAAATAATTAAATAATCATAAAATAAACACTCATTTTTAGTATTTGATTTAAAATCATAATTTACAGTAAAACCTCCCTAATATGGGCACCTACGAAACTTTTTCAAATCGCCCATCTGACGGAGGTGTCCACGTTATAGAGTTTTTTACAGATACCGATCACAAATATGTTTTCCGCAAGCTACGTCATAAAGAGCACCCATACTTGTATATTACCAATCGGTCTTTAGACCTTTGACTATGTCCAATATTTTTCTCTAATCATCTGATGTCTTCTCTTGACCTCAGTTTATTTTCGTATTGACAATCAAGCTTTTCGAAAAAAATCCATAATTGACCTTTGCTTGTTATTTTTTGAATCAATGTAAGCATCAGTTAGTTTCGATTCCAAATCAGTGACGAGTTGTTGAAGTTCTGGTTGACGAGTAGATGCCAGCAGATGGAGCTTTCGAATCATTTCAAGGGCATCAACAAGTGATGGAGGGTGTTCTTGAATCACTTCATCATCTTTGTCGTTTTGATCGTGTTGAACATCTTCGATTGTCAATAGATTCTCTGCATTGTTGTTCCATTCATTTGTAATTGAGAATTCTTGATCTTTTTGTGAGATGGGCGTACGTGTGGTCGGTGTTTCGGCGTAGTGTGGTTCTGACTATGCCTGCGTACATGCGAGAAGAAGAACCACATCCACACCCTAAAAGAAGAGGCATCTTACCAGACACTCAATCGGAATTTAGACCTAAATTTTCACTCCAACCTTGGGTGTCAGCGTGGGTCTGGGTCTGGGTCACGGTGTATGTGGGTTTTGGTATGACTGTTTTTTATTTGAAGAGTTAAGAAGAAACGCATACCCACACTCGCGATGAACAACTGACAATAGTCACCTTATTCTCTGAAGTTCAATAGCATTCCTTACTTTGTTTCACTGAATTTCATTTTTTTCTGACAATGGAAGGTCCCGAAACTGGTAGTTAAGGAGATTGACCATATTCGGGTCAAATAAAAGCTGTTATCGTCAAACTAAAAAATTTTAAATATTACATCCCCATAGCATACCTTGAGCATGTTATTTAAATCAAAGTATGTGAAATTTACATATAATAACGAATCAGGAAAGAATTTCTCCGTTATTTTGAGGACAAAACTTGGTGTTGTTCGGACCATATGAAAGAGATCCCCTTCAAATCCCCTAATTGACCCGAACAACACCATATTGTGTCCTCACAACAGGAAGAAATCATCTCCTGATTCATTTATATATCTAAATTTCACATACCTTCAAATTTAAATAACGTACTCTAGGCATGCTATGGGAATGTAATATTTTAAATTTGTTAGTTTGACGGTAAGAGCTTTCATTTTACCAGAATATGGTCAATCTTCTTAACTGTTAGTTCTGGGCCTTTCATTGTGAGAGAAAAAAGAAACTTGAAAGATAAAAAAAACATTTTGGATATTAAGCTGCTACTAGTGCTGGCTGGTAGTCAAGGAAAAAACCCGTATAGTTTGTAATATTTTCTATCTGATTTCAGAAGTGCTCTGCTATAGTTTTTCTTTCACTCATCACTAGTGTAGTAAATAAAAGCTTCGCTTGGATGCTCACATATTCTATTCATCCAACGAAGAAGAGTGAGAGAGAGAAAGTAATGAGAAAAGTTGAGATGGAAACCTACAATATTTCTTATCCCAACGAGCAGTACGTAGTTCGAGTTCTTTACAATTAGACGAGTGTTCATATGATGATTTTGTATAAAATGTAGAATTAAAGTAAGTATGAATAGGAATTTCATGTTTTATTCGAGAAGTTTTCGGTAGAAACTTCTATCATCATCAGGCAAACATCGGATTCTAACTGTTGAATTCTACTTAACTTGTATCAACGAGAATTTCGATTGAAGATAATTGCTTTTGAATAACACACCCTTGAAAGACAACAAATATCGAGTATTTCCGCCTCGATTTTTCTCGTCACTTTCTCTCTCCTTCGTCAGAGGAATAGAATATGTGATCATTCAAGCGAAGATTTTATTTACTACGTTAGTGACGAACGAAAGAAAAACCATAGGAGAACACTTCTGAAATCAAATAGAAAATATTACAAACTATACGGGTTTTTTCCTTGACTACCAGCCAGCACAGGTAGCAAATTAATATCCAAAATGTTTTTCTCTTCCAAGTTTCTTTTTTCTCTCAGAAAAAATGAAATTCAGTGATACAAAGCAAGGATCACTATAAAACTTCTGAGAGAATATGACTATTGTCAGTTGTTCATCGCGTTCTAGTCATTGAATGCACTAGCAGAACCGACAGACTGGGTATGTTTCCTTTCGCAAGCTTCTGTGCGCTCTATTCTCCGATCTATGTATTAGAAGTGTTACTGCTCATTTTTTCGAATATCTCGGTCATATTTTATCATAAAGATATAAGATTGGTTTCAAATGACTTTGTTGCTTGTTTCTCAAGATACCGATCAAAATCCGCTGCATGATCAAGTGTTCAATCGAAACCTAGCTTTTCTCTTTTAATACAATCGAGTATTCGAATCAATGAACTGCACCGGATTCCGAAAGTTGACTCCGATCCGACTCTGCGGAAGGGAGTCGTGTAAATAAAGTTGCCGGAGTCGAAGTCACTGTGATTGAGAAGAATTCTTTTCGAAGTCAATGTCGGAGTTATATAAATAAAACAGTCACATATTCCTTTTTACTTTTATATAGCAACAAATTTATTTTTGATATCCTAAGAAAGAAACAGAAGTGTGCTAATTTTAGCTTCACAGATGAGTTTCAAGAAAAAGTAATAACATAAGAGATATTCACATTGACAAACAGCACAAAAAAATAAATTAACTAATCCACAAAAACCTCTGTGTTATCAAAATCACTTAAACTATCTGTACTATCAAGTCTTTGTTGTTTAGGGATTGCGCAAGTAGATTCTTCAGATGACGCTGTACTTGTAGATGAAAATTATATTGTTTGAGGTGCAGGCGTGGATGTGACTGAATTTTATCGCAGAAAAAGAGAATATTCGTACTCACATCCATACGCACACCCACACCCTTAACTGCTACTCAGCGGTTATGAAATTATATCAAAACATTGTAATGCAGCGACTTGTCTGAAATGATACGTCCTTTTGAACATATATATTAGCTCACTCACTTGTAAAAGTCACAATTCAAAACTTTGAATAAGACGTAGTCTTGCAACAAATTTTTGTTTAAGGAACACAAGTCAGAATAATCACTATGGGATTCGTTGTACGTTGGATGAAGAAACAGTTCATGGAATGGAATCTATTCGAGAGCGAAGTCTCTCAAACGGATGCCTTTCGTTTACGTACAGAGCTAATTTCCACTCGCTTTTACCTCTTTCTACTAGTTCTAGCCCTTACCATTCTTACCATTTTCAACTTGCAAGCTGACCAGATTTACACAGTCACTGTTCAAAATCCTTCTCAGATCATATATGAAAAACTGTTGATTCAGTATCCAGCCACATTGACCTGTCCTTGCAGTCAAATAGCGGTTCCGTTTGGTACATTCATATCAATCCAACCCTATTACCATTCTGTATGTTCGAGTGTATTTACGTCTAGTGCATGGATCAATCATTTGTTCAATGAGAACATTGCCGATTACCTTCAAGTAGATTTTCGTTCATCAGCCAGCGGACTGTTTCAGTCGCTTAATACACTTTGTTCACACTCAATACAATGGATGCAAGATGCCATCGAAGATTTCCTCTCAGATACGCTTCTGACTGCGTTTGTTTTGAATCCTGAATCACTTGAAGTGGAGAGTCAAGCTCGAATATCCGTGTTAAATACAACAACAGCAAATGATTTACATCGACTGCTTGATCTTGTACGTAGTAGCATTTTTATGAATCAATTACAGCCAGCGCTGCAGACAGTTTATGTAAATGCCATACGAATGATCGACGGCGTAGCATTCTTGTTCGAACTGGCTATCGGATATTGGTATAACAGAACAAGCAATTGTTATTGCTGTATTCAAAGTACTTGCTCTGCACCGGCGTACTTTTATGATTTTTTCGGTGAAATCGGCTATGTGTATTCTTCAAAACCTTTACATATCTATGCTAGTACCAATGGATTTCGAGTAGGATGCAATTCAATTGAGTCGCTCCTTCAGTCGACATTTGAATGTTTCTACAATGCCACTTGCCTGGAGAGAGTACTCACATTTTTCCCTTCGTCAACACTGATCGTCAATACTCTTAGAAGCACCAATCGATCGCGCTTCTTGCCAAACATGACCATCGAAACACTGGCCACCGAGTTGTTTATCGAATATTTTTCCAATAATTTGTCGTTCTCGGCTTACTATCACCAGTGTGCTCCCATTTCGTGCACATACACAATCAAAGGAAGGCGTAGCGCTTGGTACATAATCACTATTACTGTTAGTCTTTACGGTGGTCTCACCACTGTTTTAAGTCTTTGCATACCGAGTATTGTTGGTTGGTGGCGTTCTAGAAAGTTAACCAAAACACAAACACCTAACGAGTGTAAGTAGTGTAAGTTAATCGAGTATTTGGTTCATCTAATATTCTTTTCTTTTCTGATTAGTCGTGTTTATTACCGGGCATTTACAAAAAATTTATCGATGGATACGAAAACAGTTACATGATTTGAACTTGTTCAAAAGTGACCTAACACGTTCAGATCCTTACGAATTGGTAACTTCATTGATTGCAACTCGTGTCTATTTGCTTCTTCTATGCTTGTCCGTCATCATTCTTGTGACCTACACAATGCTGAGTCTGAGAATGCAGAGTATCATCGTCAGAAATCCATCACGAACTCTCTACGAAAAGTTATACAGTAAATATTCATCAACACTGTTCTGCCCATGTAGTCAACTGGGTATCACGTATGGCTCATTCATTTCGATTGCACCTCGATATCATCCCGTTTGTTCAAGTCTATTC